CAAATACTTCTTTATAGTTCTTTGTTTATATCACAAACAGATGAAACAGAACAGTTCGAAACTGTCAAGCGTGGGCTCATGTTGAACTCCATCTGATTATGAAAGTCTTTAAACTGAATAACAACCTAAGAACAAGCCAGTGTGATTCTGTCTCAAAACTTAGTGTGCTGCATAGTCAGCTCAAAGTGCTGCACGTGCAAATGATGCCCACAAATGTTGTCTAGTTAGTCAGCATACTACGCTATGAGACACAGCCAGTGTGATTATTTACTTAAACTAATTGGTTCATGTCGTCCTAAAATTACAGAACATTTTGTGAATATTTGTATTCATGTCATTTGTTAATTGCTAAGTAAACGTTACACATCACTTTAACTAAAAACCAACATATTAGTTGGACCAAACCAAAGCTTGATGTATAGATTTAACATTTAAACAATCAACAAAAAGATACCAACATATTTTAGGTGGCTTTCATACCAGTTTAAAGTATAAAAGTTAACTTTATTTGGTAACACAGAGCATCATAATCAGATTACAGTGGACAGAAGTTAACCTAACCTAACAACAACAAAGCTTGAGGATTTTCACTACTTAAACACACACATTTTAATATACCTGTTGACCGAAAGACTTATTAACACAATATTAGATGACAAAATACTTAAAATACCAGTTGTCAAGACATTTCGTGTTGAAATATGACACCGCTAGCCGAACGAACAGCATAGACCCGTTATCTACGTTAGCTGTGTACATATTTCTCATAATAAAAAAAATCCACCTACCTAAAAAAACAGACGACACCTACAGACGTTATCGACGTTTATTACCTTATTCTTTACGCTGTCAGAAGAAATTTCGGCACAAGCCAGAGAGAAACACAGGAAAATTGGCTGACCTTAAAGGTAAGCCACGCTGGTAGAACGGCGGGTGTTGTTATTGAAGCGGACTGCAAGCAGCTACAAGTACAGCAATGACAAAGAACACGCTAACAGAAGCCACTCATGCCACTCTAGTAATCCCACCATGTTCGATCACGTGCTATGGATTCGCGCCTCTGATTGGTTCTTTGATTTTGTTTGCGCTTGTAGAAGAGATTCAAAATCAATGGCCCTCAAACCTCCATGTTCATACTCTTTCACCATATGGAATTTACGTAAATAATGTGTTTTATTTTTCCATATAAATTTAAATAAAATTGAATTCACTGATTTAACTACTCTTGGGGCAGTATACAAAGCTTGAGATAAATAAATAAGTTTGGATATTCCCTCAGTTTTAGTCTAGGGCTAAGGCTACGCTCCACTTTTACGGTTGTTTTAGATCAGCTTTGTTCCGTTTCTTGCCAAGTTTGATGTTTTAGCTTCTTTTTAAAGTATTTTCGCTGGTGGACAAAAATATACGAGTTAGTCACTTTTTGTCTGAAACATAACTTTTTCACTATTAATTAATTATTTTAGAACTGTTGTATAAAGCGATATAAAATTATGATTTAAAATGCATTTTTATTTTATTTCTACACATTCCAAAAATTTCCAAGACCGCTATTATTATTAATTTAATTTTACTTTATTTTATGACATTATGTACTCATTAAAGATTTGCATAACGCCGTTCAAACGTTCACGCAAAAAAAGAAGGCGTATCTTTATCGTAACATTTAAACTGAATGAAAACAAATACTTAAAATAAATAAATAAAAACTAAATAAGAAAAGCAATTTAAAAAACTCACGCCTGTAAACAAGTACAAATAATTACAAATTATTCAAAGAATAGATTTAAGGCTTTAAAGTAATTTACATTTTTTTTTTGCTTTGTTATTTCTTGTTTCTTTTAACGTATACAAGTAGTGACCTATTTCTATTCTGAAATGAGTAAAAATAGGTTTTTTCATTGCCCATTTACATTTGTGAATAAGGAATTTTCCGTATATAATGAGTAAATTCACCAAGTGAAACTACTTTGTTTGGTGTTCCAAAAGAGGACACAACACAGGTCACAGTATGGTGAGGGGCGTAACATTTCCGTCACACACTTCAGGTATTCGGCCAATCACAACGCACTGGATAGCTGGCCAATCAGAGCACACCTCGCTTTTCAGAACGATGAGCTTTGTAATAATAGATTCAGATAGGCGGGGCATAGAGGAGAAACAATAACGTACAGTATGTGGGAAATATTTTTGAACCTTAAACCGCATAAACACATTTCATTACACCAAATACACCAAATAATGTTCTTTTTAGCAACATCATATGACCCCTTTAATGAAGAACACAATCTGGCCTCGAGCATTTGCGCACGCGGGGAATTCCAGAAAGGAATTTCTCTTTCTCTGCATCACGTCAAAGCGACTCGCTTCTATTGCTTTCGATTCTCCGGCTCTCTATCCTTCCGTCGAAGTCTGTGAAGTTAAATACTTACATAACTGAAATGGCACTAAAAACAGCGCTACACGTGCCTGTATGTGAATGTCTAAGCAAGACAGCTTTTCTGCTGAGGATCCCATTATTGTCACTCTATTCTGCTTTGATATAAAAAGAAATGGCTTGTGCTTTCATCATGTGCCAGTTTCCATGGGCCCTCATCTGGCACTCTGCGTCTCTGTCATCCTCATAGACAGACTGGCTGTGAGTGAGCGAGTGAATGAGTGCTCATGCCAAAATCTCCTGCTGCATTCAGAGTCTCTGTCCATGTGCAGAACTGTTTTTAATGGAGTCATTCTGGCAAATCATTTGAACAGTACAGCTATTAGGAGCACATTTAAGAGACTCTTTTCATTGTTGAACATGTAGTCACTTCCTATACTGTCTTTTTTTTTTTTTGATTGAGGTAGACTCACTTTTCAAATCTCTTGTTTAATTAGGAGCCTGATACAAATGTGACAGATTCATGAAGCAATATGAGCAATTTTTTGGTAACGCTATTGATAAGGCTTAGTCTGTATTTCCTTTTTTTGTCAGTGTTGTCCATTTATTTGTTCGTTCATTCACTCACTCATTTTTTTGTTACATTTTAAGTTTTGTGCATATGCTCCTTAATGTTCTACTGTTTAAAAAGCATCATTTCTTTAAATAAATTTTTTTTTGCCACTTCCTACAGTCATAAACAGAGCTTGAGCACCAACCTCTGGCCATATAAGATACTGTGACATTTACTCATATTACTCAACATTATTCACATACAGTATATTGTAATCTGACAGCTGACATAACACGTGACAGCAGCTATAACCACTTCCTATTCAGTATTGGATATTTGGTAACATCCGTGCACGTGACAGTATGTCTTACATGCGATGTCTTGTTTCCTGTTTTAAATGTCCTATTTTAAAAATGTCTTCTCCTTGTGTAATTATTATGCATGCTATTTTATGACCCCCATATTAATTTGAAGACTATATAGAATAGAAGTAGGCTACTGTATTATTATTTTGAACGCCACAGCACTATTTAAATACTGCAATAAAGCTAAAAGGGGATTATAGAGAAAAGCTTCTGACTAGTTAGACGCCATATGAGGCTGTGAGGGAAAGATTTACAGTCTTTACAATGGCACGCACTGCCACATTTTCACAACTCAACTTTAAAAGCTGGAGATTATGTCAAACAATAGTACAATCCATTGAACGCACTGTACTTCTGTCCCTCACAGCCTCCTTTTCATTCAAGTCAAAAAATAAATATGGCACTTCCCTGACTAAGTTCTAGTCAGACAGCACCTAAAATATACACATTCCATTAACATGAACATTTTTTTGTGAAAATCTAGATGTTAAAAAAGTTTGCTATTTCTTTGCAGGCATTTCGTTAACAAAGGCACATAAAAAGCTTTTGAAGCAGAAAGATCAAGCAATTAAATTAGGCTAGTAATCGATTATTTCAACAAATAACATCTGGTTTTGACAAAAGAAACTTGTAATGTAATCCCACAGGACAGTATTTCAAAATGCATAAACTACAAAGCTCAAAGAAAAACAGAATGTTCTTATGAAGTTGCACATTTACTTCTATTTTTCCTCAAGGTGGGGCAGAGTGGGAGAGGAGAACATCAGGTTGATTCATTTGTCTATTCAAGGCCAAGGAAGAAGAATGCAGTTCAAGTCAGATCTTGCACTCGAGACATCCTCAAGGAAACACCTGTGTGTTCAAGGCTTCACAGTCTATTACTCGCCCTGACATCACCCATTTCAGAAGCTTGTTTTAACAATTAGCTTTTCTTGAATTGAATTTCATCATTTCTGTTGTATGGAGAACAAAATCCTCGCGTTATACTGACTCTCATAACCACCAGATGATGTTCAAAGAGCAATGCACAGCTTATTTTATACAATTGTAATCTTTTCTAATGCTTAAATCTGATGGCATTTCTTGACCTTCAACTGAAAAGACTTTTTATGCAACAAGTGCGACCTAGGCCACAAACGGTAGCATAGATTAAGGGAACAATAACTATTCAGCTCTTTCCTGTTTGCAGAGCTAGTCAATTAGTAACTTTTCATGAGATCAACCGTGTGCCACTGTGAGTGTGTGCCATCAGTGAATTGATCAGCTTTCCACAAGCACTGGTTCTGCTATCCGCTGAGTGATGTTTGTACATGTCCGCGTGTGTACGCATGCACGTTCAAACCTGTCGCTGCACTTTAAAACATCATCATCTCACGACCCGTCAGACGAGTCATACCAGATAAGAAGAAAAAAAGTGGAAGAGGCTTAAAAAGTGTCTTTTTAAGATAATGAGGTGGTGGCAGTGCGTGTCACACACTTATGAACAGTAAGCCATTGTTTTAGGTCTGTTGTTTTCCCTGTGATGGAAGTTGCAGACTTCCTGACATTAAAAACAAGTCTATTTCTTCGGTTGTAAGTACATTTATGGAGCACGTTCAGTTAATTCAAATAAAGGTCACAATTTAGGAGATTTGGGAAAAAGAAGATAATTAAGACTGACTGAAGAATATCAATATTCACAGCCAAAAATGCAACAACAGACAAGATATTTCATATATGTGATGCACTTTAATTTTCCATCAAATATAAAAGTGTGCAAAATATAAAACTGTGCAAACACTATGGATAAATGAGAGATATCTTTTTTGTGTACAAAAGGGAAATGACAAGGCAGCTATATCAACTTATTACAAAAGTCAAGGTAAAACCTGAAAAAGGTGTTGGTGTTGGATTACCGACTGGTTTGCTACAGAAGATTTCGTTTATACAGATGACAACACAGAATCACATCCAAAAGACCCAGCGTTCAACAGCAGTTTAAAGACCTAGCAATTAAGAGGCTGTCTGTTCCAGACAGTGATGGGTAATGACGGCTACGCCCCCCTTGGCATAAAACAGGGCTCGGTGCAGTGGTTTTACAGAGCGATGAAAAGATAAAGTGGTCTTAGGAATGAGCCAATGGCCTGAACATGAGGGTACATGGGATACAGCCCTCCCCCCATATGTCTACCCACACCTGTGATCCTCCTGAGGGCACATTCCCATGGAACGAGCCAAATGGCTCTATAAATGCACATCTCTTTTTGAGTAAAGCATTTTAATTATATAATTGGCCTCAGAGCATTGCCATTTCTGTTTAAATTATAGCTTTGAAGTGCAATATTAAGCTGATATAGGGTAAGCTTATTCTAATAATATGCTACAACAGAAATGTCTAAACAATGGGTTGCTTGCACTGCATCAATCACCACTGCACTCTGGTAACAAGAAGAAGAAGAAAACGATGAAATCAAAGACATACATCAAAAAAAAAGTGAAGTGACATGAAATGAAGTACAATATCCAGGCTCTATCTACAGTACCTATATATACATACACACATAAATGCATTTCCAATCACAAAATAACTCTATTATTAAGGAGGAAAGCCAATGAGAGCCCAAACCCTGGAGGAAATATCTGTCAATATTCTGATAAATGAGTACTTACAATATGTACATTAAATCCCAATGGATAACAAGTCCATCATCTGTCAGTTTTTACAATGTAGGAATGATAAAAAGAGGGAGAAAGTGTCTATGAGCATATCTGCAAGGGTTCCTGAAGTCCATGAGGTCAAACCCCAGTAGGACCCTCAACAAAGTGCCGATTCACACGGAGAGTCTACAGGGATCAGTGTGCCGTCAGTGTTTTTGTGGGTGGTGAGTTTCAGAACGACCACTTTCCTCTGGAGTTTTGTTGGAGTGAGAGGATTTGGACTCTCCGGCTCCGATTCTGATGTGTAGTCTAGCGAATGTTCTCCGATGGGCTGTGGAGACAGCGGCGCTGCATCGGCTCCACGTTCGAGCAGGACGCAGATGGCATCTTTGTAGCCACCGCGTACAGCCAGGTGAAGCGGAGTGAACCCATTCTGATCTTGAGCGTTGGCGACGTCGGGCCAGCTCTGCAGAAGCTCTTTGAGGACCTCGCAGTAGCCGCTCTCGGCAGCCAGGTGACATGGCGTGCGAAGGCCGTGGTCGGCGCTCTCAGGGTCAGCACCCTCCATCAGAAGCATTTTAACCGTCGGTAGGTGACCTTTCTGCGCGGCCAGGTGCAAGGCGGTGCAGCCGTTGGCTGTCCGGCTGTGGATATCGGCGCTGTGTTTCACAAGCAACCTTGAAGTGCTGGTGTGGCCGGTTTCTGCAGCCACGTGAAGCGGAGTGTGGAGGCCATCAGAGGTGAGATGCACGTTAGCGCCGAGCTCCACCAGGATCCGTGCCACCCGGTACTGGCCCCTTTGAGATGCTAGATGGAGCGGAGTGCGCCCATCTGACGTCTGGCCATCGACATCGGCACCTGCCTGCTTAACAAGGAGCTTCACAATTCCCAAATGGCCTTTCCAGGCAGCCAGATGTAGCGCCGTCCAGTCATCTTTACCTTTCACATGGACGTCAGCTCCACGACTTAGCAAGACCCTCACCACGTTTTCCTGTCCGTGGTGGCAGGCGATATGCGTCGGCGTGCGACCCTGAGCGTCTATTTCGTTAATGGAAGCACAGCGGTCAAGGAGTAAACGGGACAGGGCTTCGTCGCCGTTCTGGGCTGCAAAGTGTAGAGGTGTGTACTGGTCCTCGTCCTTGGTGTTGACATTTGTTGTCTTGCGGCTCAGGAGAATCTCAGACACTCCTTTCAGTCGCTTTTCGGCGGCCAGGTGGAGGGGCGTGGCTCCATGAATATTGGGCAAATTAGGGTTGCAGTTACTAAGTAGCAGAAACTTAACCGCTTCCTCATTGGCCAGACTCACTGCGAGGTGGAGCAGGTTGCTGCTGCCCTCCAAGAGCAAGTCAACATCTTGTGGTTGGAGGATCTTCATCAGCTTTGCAATGTCCTCAGTGCGAATGGCTTCACAAAGCTTCTTCTTCTGTAACTCACTGGAGTCTAAGTAGTACATAAACACAGTGAAGAATAATAAAAATGAGTATAAAGAATTTTATGGCACACTGATTAGACTTTTAGGATTATCAGACTCATCAAGTTTTTGCTCAGCATATCTCTGATGATCAATAATATTTGCAGAATCAAATCCAAAACAAGTAACAAAATGAAAAACAAATGAAAAACAAAAAACAACTCAAAACAAATAACAAAACAAACAAAACTCAAACAAAATAATAACAAATAAAAAACAAAAATAAAGTAAAAAAACAAACCAAACATCCAAAAAGAACAAAATAAACAAAACACAAATAAAATAAAAAGCAAAACAAAAAGCAACACAAAACAATTAACATAACAAACAAAACTCAAACTGAATAAAAAACAAATCAAAGCAAAACAAAAATATAAAAATAAAACAAACCAAACAACTAAAAAGAAAATAACAAAATAAACTAAACACAAATAAAAAAGCAAAACAAACAGCAACACACACAAACATTTTTAAAAAAATGAAATTAAATAATACCCATATGTATATTATACGAAAAAATTCAAGATGCTACTGTGGCTTATCTCTTACCATTCACAGCATTTTCTTTTTCAAAGGACAATGTAATCGAGCCTTGGGATGAGAAAGCGGAGTCCACGGAGGAGATTCCTGACAGTCTCTTGCTGGTGTTGTCTTTGCTCTCAAGGGACTCTTCTTTGACATTGCTAAAACTGCGAGACAAGCCCGAGTCAATCTGACACAGCAGCTCAGACAGGCTGTAGTCTTTCTCAGGTAACATGGCTGACTTCGGCCTCACCGGCTTTTGGTTGTTAGTCTGTATGTGAAGAAAAGTAGAACAGATTCTTTGTAAGAGAACATTTAATCAACCATGAAGATTAGCAACAATGCTTTCATATTTTAGAAACAATGGAGGGAGCCACATGAATTATAAATGACAATTTGACAAATGAAGAACAGTGTATTCTTCCTAAAATAAACAGTTTTATATGCTCACACAGAAAACAACAAAGGGGTTCTGTTAAAGCAATGCAGTTCGGTGGCATTCTCTGTCTCTGATGAAAGACTGTCATCTTGGTAAAACATTTACACTATGTACTTAGACTAAAACAAATACCAAAGAGTTGCCTAATAACTGAGGGACAGGAAGTCTAAATCTCATTGGAGGTCAATCTAAATGACTCATATGAACATAACTTGCTGGAAACACTGCTTTACGTAGTACACAGCATGACAATGGAAAAAAAATCATTTTAAATTTATGCATCTGATATTACCTGTTCACTGGAGGCTGGGGCAGGGCAAGGGGAACAGTCTGTTTCTGAAGAAACGGAAGCTCTGGACTCGTCATGAGGTTTGGTGCACAACTCCTCAGCCTCTGAAGTGATCTCTGTAGGAGAAAGTGAACAATGTTTCAATGAACAATGATAGTGAACTTTTTTTTAAGGAAAGTCTGGTATACCTCTTTATAGAAATACTTCCTGAAATTACAAAACCTATTCAGTATAAAAATGGATTGAAGTACAGGAATGGCACATTGTGTCATGGCAATTTATTAGTCTGGTTGCCTGGCATATTCGGTCATATCACTGTTGCAATGCAACTCTGGTTGCTGTGACTCAGCAGGTTCATTACTGGTGTGATCGAAGTGAGAGACACTCACCTTGAAAACTGGGTCTGGCTTCGGGGGAATGTGCCCAGCATTTCTGCATAAGGGACAGGAAGCCTGAGCAGGCCTGAGGACGACTGCGAGGAATAATGCTGAGATCTGGACGAACGCCCTTCACCACCTTCACCATTATGTGCAGGATGTTATTGTCTCCTATGAAACAGACAGAGCAAATAAATAACATTAGTTTTTTTGCCACACAACAGAAACACTCAAAACATGTCTGTTTAGCTGTGCATTTACTGAATGATCATGGTTACATCCGAACTGATTGCACTGTATTTTATGTATCATCCTCTTTTATTCTTCACTGTTTTAATTCATTTTAAATGTTCAAATCATTTCAAAATTGCAATTCTTTGCTTTTATTGTTGTGATTATTTTGATGATCATTTGAATTCTTTTTATGTAGAGCACTTTAAATTACCATTATGTATGAAACGTGCTATATAAATAAACAGAAAAAAGAAAACCGATTTTGTATTACTAAAAACATAAAACTCAAAATTGTTTGTAGTACATTTCCCTTAAATTCTCATTTTTAGCAGATCTGAAACGTTTTACTTCTTTTATTATTTTATATTATTGTAATGTTCGACAATGTTTTTTCCCCAGACGATTAAGAGCAATACAACTAATTCTACAGTACTACAATTTAAATTAAATGTAAATACTATATTGTTATTTTTATACTAATATACTATACTAATAAACATGGAATGGATGAGTAACGTAAAACATTTTTTATTTAAAAATAAACTATTTTTAATAACACTTCTCTCAGAGGCCGCTAATTTCATATCCTGTGATTTCAACTTTTATTGTGAATCAGGATATTGTTTATTTTCCTTTTGGAAAGAGTTGTTTGGCAGCCAAATGATTCCATTCTCTGGTGCCAAACACAACAATTCTGCCTCTATTGACAAAGCGTTTTTGGTTTCAGTCTTTCACACTGAATTCTTGTAACTGCTGGTTACTAAACAAAAAGAGACTAGATTTACCCGGAAATCACAACCAGATAAACACACAGACACTCCCTCACAGAGAGCCAGTCAGATTGAAATGAATGCCAAAAATCCATGTTTACGGGATCCGATGCCGCCCATAGTAAAGATAAACAACAATAAGGGTTCCAACACACTCTCAATACCCAAAAAAACTGACCTTGATATGGCTTCTTCTGAGTAAGGATTCCCCAGATAACAATCGAAAAACTGTGAAACAACACATATGTGTAAGACAACATTGACTTAACCATTAAAAGGTGGTTTTGACGAACAGAAGCTGATCTCGTATTTCAGCTAATACGAAATCCAAAATGGCTGACCTGTACACGTCGTGTTTAGTGTCAGAGATTCTGTCTTTTTCTATGATTCTCTCTGGAGGAAGGTAGGCGATGGTGCCACAAAACCCATCACGGCTAATATCGTCATTCCTGGCAAAGCCGTTCCACCTTGCCAGGCCGAAGTCAGAAATCTAAAATGAAGAACACAAAGAATTCGGCTTAGTCTTTAGACTTCACATTTTAAATCCAATTAGATCAGATTGAATGCATTTATGTAAGTGTTATTTACTGTGCTTTTTCCAGAAAGTCGCCTACAGGTGCTCTATTAGGTGGGGAAGCCCTGGTTTTTCTGTAAATGTGTGCGCGCATATGTAGGCGTGTGTGTGCCAGCCCTTCATTAACACTGCCTAGCTTTAGCTTGTTCAGACTGGTCCAGGATGCGTGTTTACATCTAGCCTTTTCAATCCAACACAACGATTCCCACCCATCCCTCGTGACACCTGCTTACTCATCTATGGGAAGGCTGGATATAAATGGGATAAATCATGGGAAAGCTTTTCAACCCTCAGGGAATTTTCTGGAAAGGTATGTGGGGACCGTGAAAAGAAAATGATAGGTGTGCCCTTCCCCCCGTCACTTTTGAAATCCTTAAGAATTTTCCCGCACAGATGATCTGACACGACCGAGATTAAAACTGTTGTTCGCTCGTCAACGAAGGATTAGGATTAAAATCCTTCACGCTGACAGGATGTTTTCATGAACATGAAACACATAATGTAGATATGTAAATCAAAATGTAGCTGTTTATTTTGTCAGTGAAATTTGATCCATAATCGTTCCTTTAAGATAATTTATAACCATTTAAAACAGTGTTTCCCAACTTGGGGTTTGTAAAAACGCAAAGGGTTCATTGATAAAAAACCACTAATAAATTAAATTAAAAAATGTAAAATTAAAATAAAAATAAAAACATCAGTGAAATGCGTTTCACTATGTGTTGTAAAAAAGATTAAAAAAAAAACTTAAAATCTCTTTATCAAAGGTGTTCATCTTAACTCTTAATAAAAAAATAAAAACAAAATGAATTAATTTAAGAAAATGTATACATTTGTGACCCTGAACCACAAAACCAGTCATAAGGGTAAATTGAGATGATTGAGAAATTTCCAAATTGAGATGTATACAAAGCTGAATAAATATGCTTTCCATTGATGTATGGTTTGTTAGGATAGGACAATATTTGGCTGAGATACAACTATTTGAAAATCTGGAATCTGCAAAAAAAAAAATATTGAGAAAAACGCCTTTAAAGTTGTCCAAATGAAGTTCTTATCAATGCAAATTATTAATCAAAAATTAAGTTTTAATATATTTACAGTAGGAAATTTACTAAATATCTTCATGGAACAGGATCTTTACTTAATATCCTAATGGCATGAAAGAAAAATCAATAATTTTGACCCATACAATGTATTTTTGGCTATTGCTACAAATATACCCCAGCGACTTAAGACTGGTTTTGTGGTCCAGGGTCACATTAATGAATTAATTGTTATAAAGGACTGTTTTGGGGGAGGGGGGGGGGGGCGGCATTAAGGCATTTCTTTTTCTTTTTTTATGTATGTTCCACAGAAGAGAGAAAGTCATACAGGTTTGGAACAACTAGAGGGTTTGTATTTGTGTCAACTTTTGCATCAAGCATCCTATGTAATTGCCAGACATGTAAACTCCAGACAAGAAAACTTGTAGGTGTTTTTTTTGTAATCGCTGCATCAAAGCAGTGCAGTTTACTCAGGTAGTGATGAATCACTCGTCCTGAAGCTTTAAAGCAATGAATCAGCTGTGATCGATTCCTTGGAAGTTCTAAACCATGAGCAATACGGTCACCACCTTTACAGCAAAAGCCTCGTCATGACCAGATGTGGCTCGCTCCGGCTCACCTTGATGTGGTAGTGTGCGTCCAGCAGGATGTTGGCAGGTTTAAGGTCGAGATGAAGGAGGGGCGGGTTCATGCAGTGCAGAAAGTTCATCCCCACTGATGTCTCGTGGATGATACGGAAACGCAGCTCCCAGGGCAGCGGCTCCGAGGCCAGCAGAGTTTCCAGAGAGCCCGTCTCCATGTATTCCATCACCAGTCCCTGCGGATCGCTGCAGATGCCGTATACGGGGAGGACGTAGCGGAACTTAGCCGCCTCCATCTTTTTGGCCTCCTCTAAAAGTTCGGCACGTTCCCTAAACGACAAAAAACTGATCAGTTCAAAGTCACACCTGTCATGGAATGTAAATGCCATTTATTTTGCAAGGAATGTCTTAACTTGGGAGGGATCCAGCTGGATTTTAGCTGGATAACTAGCAACACACCCCATGAATTAAAAAGATCGTAAAGAAATCACAGCAAGACGCTTTAATACAAACAAGGGAAGGTACTAAAACCCGCTGGACCTGAGCACAAGCTGACTCATTCATATTACCTGGAGGCATTTTATGAACAATAACACAATGTTTTTTAGCTATGGGCTAAATTTCCTTTCTGAAATATAGACGGGGCATCTGAAACAGCATTCAAGCACACACAAATACGTTTTTCACAATGCTGTTTACAGTATATTTATCTGAGATCATCTTTTTAATTACATTCCAGTCTTTAACACTGATAGATGTGGGGTTGTGTGAATGGCTCTTTTGTACTTTGTTATTACTCAACTCCTTTTATTATTAAGTCAGACATGTAGGTCATATATTTTTAAAATGGACTTACAAAGGACATCTTAAAGAGTTTACAATCTGTTTGCTTACTTAACAGCACCAAGAAAAGGCCAAAAGGTCTCTCAGTCATGTAACTCAAGAAATCAAGCACAGATATTACACACAAACTTGCAATATCAGTAAGTCTGAGATTTGCTTTATCACTTTAGTAATTCTTTTATTACTCATATGACGTCAGTGCTTAAGCCAAAGTGGCTACGTAGTTCTCCGTCAATTTTAGCATCTGCTAAATTAATTAATTAATTAAAATATTTTAAAGAATATAAATAAAAGAATACTTGCATTTTAATTCACTTTATGCTGATATTTTCTACTGAACGAAAACTAGCTTTAATAAAGCTGAGGTAAAGCATAACTATATATTATATTATATATAATATATATGAGAAATGTACTCAAAAATACAATAAAATGTAAATAAAATGTATTAAAAAAGTAAATAATTTAATTTTAATATACTTACTGTTCACATAATTAAAAAAAAAAAAAACTTTAAATGTATTTAAAAATAATTATTTTAAATACATTTAAGGGTATTTTTAAATGTATTAAGAGTTTTGCTTTCCATGTGTATTTTTGCATTTGTTTTTATATGAATACATTTCATATATATATGCATATACATTTTCATATACTTACTGTTCGCATAGAAAAAAAAAGAAAAAATAAATACACAGGGACAGCAAAACTCGTAATAAAAAAAAAAAAAAACCAAATATATTAAAAAATAAACAATACATTTATAATTAATTTCCTTTTCATAATGCTGATATTTTTTACTTAAAAGAGTTTTAGGAAGATTAAGGGAAAGCATACCTTCTAAAAAATAAATAAAATAAACAAGTTAATAAATAATTTCATATTAATATACCTAAAGTTCACACAGAAAATACATTTTAAAAATACACTTAGAGCTGATATTTTCGACAGACAAAAAAACAGTTGCTTTAAAATGGCTGAGGGAAAGCATAACTCTAAACAAACAAACAAATAAATATATTAAAAAATGAGTGAATAATGTCATTTTAATACACATAGCATTGATATAAATTAGCTTTAAGAAGGCTGAGGGAAAACATAACTCCTAATAAAGTCTGATAGGAAACAGTTGTGCAGTTCTGACAGGGATGGATAAGTGGGAGGTAAGGAGTGAAAAGATTAAGTGCGGAGGTAAACGTTTAAAACTAGCCATTCTAATGCCTTGCACTGTTCTGTTCTGCCACCCTTTTGAGCTCAACAAAAGCCGTTCTTTTCTTAAAAAAAAAAGAAAAGACCTGATCCAGTTCGACTGGTTCGGCAACTCTGCTAAAGCGGAGGCCTGATGGAGCACAGGAGGACAAAGCCTGCTTTTAAATCTGTGCCCTGTTTAGATGGCGGAGGCAAATTAGAATTCTTGTACCTTCAGATCTCAGGTGCTGATAACCTGTTGTGGTGGTGAGGGTCACATGGAACATCTATCAGATTCTTTTGTTTTTTTTCCTCCTCAAGCTTGGTGACGCAAAGTGACATCCGCATGAAGATTTCAAAAGCAGGTTTTGCAGGAGGACGTGCTAGATTACAGCTGATGCCACCTTGATAACCATGCCTGATCAAATCTTCCAGCATTAACGACCTGTTGACGCATCCCTTTGTCAAAGTAATTCTCATATAACACATCAAAGTGCTACATATCAATAGCGCCTATTCTACATAAGAGTTATAGGGCCAGAAGAGTCCAAAAGAAATGCATAACAACACACTTAGCCTGTATGCACCTGTATTCATGCTCATCCAAGGCTATTGAAAGATTTATGCCCAAAGGAAATCATTTATCACATGCTAGGTCACGCTAGAGGTGCAATTCATAGAGTCTAAACTAAAAGAACTATCACAATAAGCAGTCTAAATATTGGTATCTTCATGGAGATGGTTTCAGAAAGAGCTCTATATGGCATTAGTGTGTGCTTCTTAAATGGGTTGACTAGTGACTCAAGACCCCAGCATCATCCACAGCAGACTTACATAACTCTGGAACATAAGTCCTTTAAAATAAATTTAAAAGACTTGATATGACTTGCAATGAGGAAGAATGGAAAATGTAATGTAGTTGTTCATAATTAAAATATTTGGGGAATGTATATATATATATATCTGCATATACATACACACTCTGGCATTCAAAGGTGTGTGGTCAGTAAGATTTTTCTTTTTCTTTTTTTTGAAAGAAATTAATACATTGATATATTAAATGATTTAAAAAGTGACCGGGAAGACTTGAACATTTAAAAAAAAAAAAAAAAAAGTTTCAAATAAATGCTGTTCTTTCTATTCATCAGAGAATCCTGAGATGGTTTCCACATAAATATTATGCTGGACAAGTGTTTTCAACAATGTTAATAATAATAAATATTTCTTGAGCAACAAATCAGCATATCAGAATGATTTCCGAATGTTCATGTGACACTGAAGACTGGAGTAATGGCTGCAGAAAATTCAGCTTTGCCATCCCAGGAATACATTACATTTTAAAATATATTAAAATTGAAAAAAGCTTTTTCAAATTTTTTTATATTTAACAATATTACTGTTTTTACTGTATTTTCATTCAATAAATGCATCTAAAAACATTTAAAAACATTTAAAAACTTTTAAATATTTAAAATATGAACTTTTAAACACACACACATATATATATATATATATATATTAGGGCTGTGCGATATTGAAGAAAAATGCAATATGCGATAACTCATTAAATAATGCAATATTTGATATTTGAAACGATAATGCTTAAAGTGGTGAATAAATCTCATTCTGATTCTGATTCTGATTCTGATAAGAAAGCACCCCTACAACAACTTCTGAAAGTGAACGGTAGTGTTTTACTCGAGCATTACATAAAAATTTCATTTTAACATTAGTGTAATCATTTGAACATGAGTTTAGGAACTGAATAATAAAAAGGAAAAATAAAACACTGCTTAGTATTTCCTCTTTGAATTCAATATGCACCGATTCTTATTTAAGCTACAAAAGATATATATATATATTAGGGCTGTGCGATATTGAAAAAAAATGCAATATGCGATAACTCATTAAATAATGCAATATTTGATATTTGAAACGATAATGCTTAAAGTGGTGAATAAATCTCATTCTGATTCTGATTCTGATAAGAAAGCACCCCTACAACAACTTCTGAAAGTGAACGGTAGTGTTTTACTCGAGCATTACATAAAAATTTCATTTTAACATTAGTGTAATCATTTGAACATGAGTTTAGGAACTGAATAATAAAAAGGAAAAATAAAACACTGCTTAGTATTTCCTCTTTGAATTCAATATGCACTGATTCTTATTTAAGCTACAAAAGTTATTTAGGCAAGAGCAGTGAGTGATTTTCTCTTTGTCTTTTGTTCATGGCCCCAAATATTGCAAGCTGTAGCGATATGCATATTGCGATATGTACATTTGCGATATTTCGATAATTTGATATATTGCACAGCCCTAAAATATATATATATATTTATATTATGTGATTGACTGTTAAATTTTTAAATCACAGTATAAATAAGTGGCCCCATTTACCACAATTCACTAGAAGTAAATACATAAATTCTAATAATAATAATAGAATACGAAATACTGTATATTTAATCCATCCTCTATAAATATAACCAGACGTAAAATGTTATGCGTGTGACTGCAACATCAGTGTGCATACCAAAGATCTGGGTAATTCTTATGTATGGAAGGTTACTGGGAAACAAAGCTCACATACAGCCACTCCTTATCATGTCAAGACAGTTAAAGTGGAAAATGGATGTAGTGTAAATGGAAGTCTTTAGACAGATGTTGAGCCATATTCATGGTGTCTTAATGTGTTTGAATGTATATTTGGAGAGGTGGGGGTCATAATCATAGCTCGAGGCAGTATATTATTACAGTTTCCTGACACAACACGTTGAGGGGCAGCGTCTTTTTGCATGCCAGCATAACAAATATTAATGTGAACAGAATAGACACTTACATGCACACAGACAAAAATGGTTTTAGGAATACTGTATATCATTTAAAATAAATAATGGATAAACAAACTAATGGATATCAATTAATATCAAAACAAACTGATGTTAAAGCATATCTCCAGTTTGACATAATTAAACTATGGATTTCATATCACAAAAACACAGTTCACTTGCCCTTCAGATGATTGTGGTTAACAAACACACACACACTCATTCACACACATACTTTAAACATGCTTCCAAGCAGTCTGAAAATGTAAAACACTCAAAAAATGAACTTACTTTTCATCTGAATGAAGGCTAGGAGGGCACTTGATCGCCAACCATGTTTTCCATTGCATATGTCGTACTTTGTACACCTGTCCGAAGCCACCAGAGCCAATCTTTTCCCAACTCCCAAACTCTGAAGCGTCAAAAGTTTTCAGAAGTCCCATAATCCCTGGGGAATTTTCTGGGACGTCCATTTTTCAAGCTGTTTAATACGATCCTGTGCAATCTGGATTCTCTTTTTCACATAAAAAGGTTTTCCGTCAAAGACAAACAGGTTGTGAATGGTTCCTTGTTTTTTTCCCTGTCTGTACAGACGAGTTCAGTCTGGCCCTACCCCTCTGTTCAGGTGAGGGGGTGGGAGGAGCCTAATGACATCATTTCCTGAGCCTGGAACACACAAAGTGGCAAAGAGTCAATTGGCCAATCTAGTCTTATGACACATTTACCCGTTTATAAGCTAAAGGGCATTGGTGACACCCATGAAGCACTGATTCAACTTCTCTGCATCTAATATAGAGCTAGACGTTACAAACTTCTCAACTTTCTGCTCATGAAGCCTGGGAACTGTATTTGACATGGTTATCCAAGCTTAAGGAATGCTGGTCATCATCCAACACCTTTATAACCTGAGATCACAAGAATGTTAAAATCGTCTCTTAACCCCCTGGAGAAATATACAAGTTCTCTAGGATTACTCAACAATGTCCTGGTTATGTGATACGGCTAAAACGAGTCGTGTGGAATGTAAAAAATCATCGAACCTATTCATAGACGAGTTTATATTAGCCAGAGGTTCATGCATGCATGAACTCAATTTACGTTAATCTACACATAGTAGCTTCAGGGTAACATTAACTCAGTTTACATCCACCAGACCTTCAAAAATCGCAATGTTCTCATACAGTGTCCACATAAAAGTGAGTCACACTGCATACTTTTTTGATTCATTATGACTCAATGGATTATAAGTAAGGTAATTAATCTTAAATAAATGGCAAATCGTTCCCTTCGGGTTTTGTGGGTGGTATTTCTGTCATTTTTCACCCACGGGAATGTTTGCCATATTAAGCCTACTGTATCATATTTGATACATGAATTTGTAAAGCCTCTAAATTATCAACATGATCAAAACCATGCTGCAAAATCTACTACATGCCTTCTGTCATCTGATTGATAGTTCATACTTTTTAGTAAGAAAAATGCCTTTTAGTATAATTCTACACATATCCTCTTTCTTTTTGCTATGAGATGATTTTATAAAGTACATTTTATTTGTACATCTCTCAATCATCATTCTATTGCATTTTAATTAAAACTACAGAGCCTCGATCATAAAACTTAGCATTTAAATATTACTATCTTACGAAGAGATATTATTGAGCTGATATTTATATGAATGTTATATAAGTATTTATTATACTGTACTATACCATTCTATCGCTTTGATTTACAAGCTATATCGAATTTTCATTTGACTTTTGTCCATATAAATGACAACATCTGCATCAGGTTGCATATTTTTTGGGCCTCTGAATAAAATTGAGGTGTATGAGCTCCATATTTCACTGTATCAAAACCTGATGTAATATTATTGTGCCACAAAACACATACGCAAACTTGAAACGCATTTTATTTTCTTACAGTTATTTCATATGATAAGCTTAAAGTGAAACTCACTAGAGATGTCAATGGCTGTTACATTGTCTTCAAAAGGAATCAAAAGTGGATGCAAAGACAGGATCATTCACACGTGACTGAGGACAATAGTTCACAAAATGCTCGATGGGTTTCAGTTGTTCTGGATGCATAAAAGAGTCAGTTTAGTCATTAGCAATTCGTATGTGTGTGAGAGAGAACACTTGGGTGGGGAAAACCTGCATGGTTCATAACGGAGACCGTTTTTAGAATATCTTGCCTTTATATGTCAGCAAGCACATTTATGAATCATCAGATTAGTTGTTAATGTCTTTGCCTCACCCTAGTGGACATTCCTCAGCACTACAGTTATCGTAAGACGTTCCGTACTGTCGAAAAACGTTGCGAAAACCAACCAGGCAAATATGAAAACGTGGCCGGTGTATCTGCTCCATAAGAGTAAGAGAAATTGACTTGTTAACGGTACTAGATTAATTCAAAATTAGTTGTTTAAAGTTCAGTTTAAGTTCAGCTTACTGTATAAAGCGCCAGTGTTATTTTAATCATGGCACTTTACATGAAAGCGGCAGAGATTCTTGAGAAAGTGGCGCAGAAAAAGGGTGCAGTGAAAACTCTGGTTTATGACAGTAAATTTCAAGTAAGTGCTGATATATGTGTACCTCGGGCGTCTATAATTCAATCACACGGGGCGTAACTGGGTGTTTACATATCAAATGTGGCTTATATTCCATCTTAAGTGGCGTACATTCAAATATTCTGTTTTACAAATGATATGTAAGTTACCTTGTTTTCTTCACACGTGTCTCATAATTCACCTTAAGCGAGCAAACTTGTCTTCTTGGTAACCAAGTACACTTTTGTTTGTGATCAAACTGTTGGGAGAAATAGTTGGTCGAGTGGAAATGTCGTCACGACTGATATTTGTAAAGAAAAATAAACACAATAAAATGTCAACGTTTTTGATTGTTTCACTCTCTCTGTAGACTGTCGTGTCTTCAGGAATGTCATCTTTTTTTTATGATAGACTTCTCCCTCGTTTCACTCTTAAGAAAGTATTGTTTTGGTCTATTCATCAGAATATCAAGCAGCTCTTTGCCCTTGTGTGTGAGACACAGAAATACTCTTCAGTTCTGCAGGAGATCATCAACAGCACCAAGCTTCTGAAAGAAACAAAACTGAGGATCCATTTAGCTAAGGTAGACAGCTCTACTCGAACCCTCACCTGTGAAATCCCATGTCTGTGTCTGCGGTGCATCATTTTGTTTCTCGGTGTGAACTAACCTAACTATTAAAGACGTAATAGATGTGTCATTGTGTGTAACCCAGGTGCTGGTGTATGACCTGCTCATTGGTCACGGGGTGAAATGTGGAGGCACCTGGAAGACGATGATGATGAAGCATCGCTCCAGACTACAAGCTGCCCTGGCGAGAATCAAAGTCAAGAGAAAAGTCAGTCGAAATCAAGACCTGCTGCCCTCCAGTTTCCAGCAGACTCGGGGTAGTGTAGACATCAATTATTATAATATCAGTTTTTCTGTGATAAAACAACTATATATTATATGATCAAAATGTATAGATATCGAGACCACTGCATATTTTGTGTCTCTTCAGATGATGTAATTCCACGCTATGTGCGAGTGAACACTCTGAAAACCACTCTTGAGGATGTCATTGACTATTTAAAACGAGAGGGATTTTCATATCAAGGAACAGCATGTCGGTAAATTGTCCTCTGCACGTCACAAAATGTTTGTAAATTCTCCAGCGTCCCAGATGTAGAATGACATGAAGGAGAGTAAATGATGGCTGAATGTTTCCTGAACTATTTCTTTAACAGTGCATTTCCACTGATAGTTGTCGTTTTTTTTTTAACCATTATTTCCCCGTTTCATCGTCCCAGGCTCGAGGATCTCAGTCATCTGTCCGGGAAGAGATTTCTGTGTGATCTTCATCTACAAGATCTTCTGGTTTTCAGTGCAAAAACTGCCTTTCATAATCACTTCCTTTATAAAGCGGGACACATTATATTGCAGGACAAGGTAGAACATTATACTACACCTACCTACAGTTTGCAAAACATGAAATGAGACAAATCTCATGTTATTTCGCTCTCTGTTTTGTGTTGAAATGTTTCTGTAGGCCAGCTGTCTTCCTGCTTTCCTCCTAAACCCCCAAGTTGGCAGCCATGTCATTGATGCTTGTGCAGCTCCAGGGAACAAAACCAGCCATCTAGCTGCCATGATAAAAAATAAAGGGTATTTGAATTCATATCTAATTCTGAAGAATAAGGGACTGGATATAATTATTAAAAATGTGTGTGTGTATATATTCATATTTTAATATTAATATTTTATTTCTAATTTATTAATACTCACACACACACACACACACACATACATATATATATATATATATATATATATATATATATAATTTATTTAGGGCTGTCGGTTTAATGCGTTAACTTAATTATGAAAAAATAAAATAAATATTAAAATATTTGAACGCAGTTAACGCACTGGCCCCGCCCCCAGACCTGTACATCATCTTACGCTTCATACATTAACGGACTGTTGACAAATATAAACAAAGTTATGCCCTAAAATTCAAAATATTGGGGCAAAAATGCCCCTGTATGAGTTTTTGTCTCATTTATATCATATGATAAGCGATATCACACCAGCAGCGAGAGCAAGAATAGCCTATCACACGCTGTTTTTGTCACGAATAGCAAAACTAAATGAATAGTTTCTGAATGAATCCGTGTTTTGAACGAATCGTGTGAACCAGTGATTCAGTAGCCCATTCATAAAGTGAGCCGTCTGGTCATTCCTGAATGAATCAGCCGTTTGAACGAATCAACTCATAAAGACATTTACCGCCACCTGCTGGTAGTTTTAGTTTCTTTAGAGTATAATTTAATGTATTAAAAAAACATTAAAGGGATAGTTCACCAAAAATAAATAAATAAATTCTGTCATCATTTACTCACCCTCATGTTGTTTCAAACCTGAGTGACTTACCTTCTTTTCCACAACATAAAAGAAGGTATTTTGACTAACTAAGCTGTTTTGGTTACCAGTGACTTTCATTGCATGAACAAAAATACTGAGATGTTTCTCAAATCATCTTCTTTTATGTTCCATACTTTGTTAAGCCATTGTAGCCTAAACATTTAACACAATAATAGCTGTAAATTATGTTTTGAGGTTATTTTCACAGCCAAATTTAGTTTGCGACTAGTTAGATTAATTAATCGCAGCACCCTGTAATTAATTAGATAAAAAATTTTAATCGACTGACAGCCCTAATGTATATATATATATATATATATATATATATATATATATATGAAAAGTTTATTTGCAAAAAATTTATAATATAATGAATAAATTATAAATAAAATATTAAACTTAATTCTAAGAAATTAAGATTCATTCATTAAAATATTAATCTAATAATAATATTGACTCTTTGTTAAAATATTTTGTATAAATACACACACACACACACACACACACACACACTAATATATACATATGATATATACATACTTATATTTTAATTACATATATTTTGTAATTGAATTGATTCATTTTATTAAATGTACAACAGGAAATTGTTTGCGTTTGATCTTGATGCAAAACGTCTGTCCACCATGAGCACTCTTCTCCTTCGTGCCGGGGTCACATGTCATCAGCTGGCCAATCAGGATTTTC